AGTGGTTGGTTTTTGTTTTTGTTTTGTACCCATGTTGTTTTGTAATGGTTGTAATAACAGACTGTCTCCTCATGCCTTAGCTTCGGCTGGGAAGCCTGGCCCTTGCCACGGGCTAGTGAGGACCAGAGCCGAACTGTAGCTGTGACTAGGTGATGTCTCAGACCTGCAGGCAGTTGTAGCAGCCCCCTCTCGGGCTCCAGCTGCTGGGCAAAGATGGTAGAGCCCCAGGGCTAGAAGCACTCTTTATTCCAAGGATATTCCCAGTAGGTTCAGTTTGGTTGGTTCTAGAACCTGGGGGAAATGGGTCACTAATTTGGGATAGTTTTGGATGGGAGACCATTTGGTAGAAGGTGTCTTGATCATGAGGAAGTGGGAATAATTTACTCAAAAATCTTCGTTTCAACCTGGGGTCATTTTATAAACAGCAGAGGTCTTGCTCCCCTTTTCAGAGCCCCAGTTTTCTTCCCCTTTCAGAGCCCCAGTTTTCTCATCTGTAAAATGGGGATAATAATACCTATCTACCTCATAGCACTGTTGAAAGGGTCCAATACGAGAATGGATGGGAAGGTAACTTGTAAACAGTACCATGCCTTGGAAATGCTTATCTTGAAAGGACCTAGCCCACCTAGAAAGATCCCACTGCGCATAATGTTCAGGAGGTTAAGGGAGTTCCATGGTATTGCTTTCATGAGGCAGCTTCTATGCTATCCCGTTCCTACTTTTGCCCCTCTTGGCTCAGGGGCAGGGATGACTCCTAACTCCTGGCAGTGGCAGAGGTAGCACAGAGCTGACTTCTATGACAGAAGAGAACCTGCTTACATGTGCCATTGCAGTGTATCGGGGTCCAAGGGAGCTGGTGAGATATATAAGGTCCCTTCAGTATAGGTATTTGCAACTCTCTGTAGCTAAGCAAATAGGGTTCAGGAAATGAAGGGAAGAAAGGACTGACCTGGCAGAGGAGAGATCTTTAAGTTACTAGACAAGGTGGAATTAGAGAGAGGAAAGGGGATGAGCAGCTGGATCCTGAGCTGACATTCTGGTGATGGGCCATTCAACTAAATTCACTTACACTTGGCACCTTCATTCTAGGCCAGCCTCTTTCCTGGCCACAGGAGCTGCAAGTGAGTAGGATGTGGCCCATGCTTGTGGCAGGAGACAGGCACATTTCCATTCAATGTGGTATTAAAATGTGAACCTTAGGGCAGGAAATGTAGGTCGTTTTGTTTTGTTTGACTGCTATGTCCCCACACCTAGAAGAGGTAAGTATCTGGTACCTAGTAAGTGCTGAAGAAATACCTGTTGCGTGAATGCCATGTGCAAGATGCTGAGGTGAGCTGGGGTTTGGGGGGAAGGGAGTGCCAGCAGGGGGAGGAGTGAAAGGAAGAGGTAACCTTTGTGGTAAGTATTGATGGATTGGTTGGAATTAGCCAGGAGATAAGGGTGGAGAGGGCTTTCTAGGAAGAGGAACTATGTTTTGGGGCCGGAGTCTGTTAGAGATAGAGGACAAGGTGAATGTTATGTTGCAAAGGAGATTCTTGGAATGAACTCTCTTGCCTTTCACACCACTTAAAGGTAGGCACTGGGGTTGTCTACACTGGTTGCCATGCTAGGCAGTGTGGCAGGGGGCCAGCAAAACTGCGGAGTGGAGAGTTCCCACCTTGGAACAGGGGTTGAATTTTGGCATGAACTATTTACCCTCTAGGGCTTCAGTACCATCTTGGCAGTGGTCTGGAGGTGGTTACAAGGAAACTCGTTTCTTAAATAACTTGTCTTTATGCTCACTGAGCATGAAGAGAGCACTTAGTGAAATAATCGAATAAGTAATGATACTTTTAAGTAACATTTTAAAGACGAATATTACAGAATTTACATTTCTGCTGAGAAGCCATCCCTTCAAAGCAGTTACATAGGAAAGGTTGCTCATTTATTTGCAGAGGTGCTGGTCCCATGATTCTAAGTGTCTTTGTAACTCTACCTTGGGGGAAAAAGTCTCAAGCCAAAGGGCACACTTTTAAGTGTCCCCAGTGTTGGCAAAACTGCCTTTTGAGAAAACATTTTCCTTTTAACAGTCAAAAGTTATCTGGAGCTGGGGTGGCTGGGTGGCTCAGTCAGTTAAGCACTGGATTTTGGCTCAGGTCATGATCTCATGGTTTGGGAGTTCGAGGCATGCATTGGACTCTATGCGGTTTGGCACCCAGCCTGCTTGCTATTCTCTCTCTCGCTCTCTCTGCCCCTGCCCTGCTTGTGCTGTCCATCTCTCAAAATAAATTAATTTTTAAAAAGTTATCTGGAGCTGGAACAGATGAGTAGCGGCTCTAGAATCCACCTATTCTCTCCATACGTATTGTTGCTGTAAGCCTTCTTCACCTGTATTACTGGCACAGCTGTCCGCCTGCTGCACTACCTTCTCCAGTCCATTTTCTACACCACGTTATTCATATAACAAAGTTCTTTTTTTTTTTAATTTTTTAATGTTTATTGATTACTGAGAGACAGAAAGAGACAGCATGAACGGGGGAGGGGCAGAGAGAGGAACACACAATCCAAAGCAGGCTCCAGGCTCTGAGCTGTCAGTACAGAGCTGGATGTGGGGCTCAAACCCACAAACCGTGAGATTGTAACCTGAGTTGAAGTTGGCTGCTCAACCAACTGAGCCACCCAGGCACCCCTCGTATAACAAATTTCTTAAGATACTGTCTTTTCGGTACTAGGCTACATGCTTCAGGAACTCACAGTCTGAAGAGAGGAAGATTTAATTTGTGCAACACAGTGTGTTAGGATACGAGGGTCTCCTAGCGAAGTAACATTTGAGGCAAGACCCAAAGGATGAAGAGTTAAGCAAGCAAAATAAGAAGAGACAAAGGAAGAACATTATAAGTAGAGGGACTAGTATGTGATAGCTCAAAGGAAGCAAGCCTAAAAGATCACCTGTAAGGCTGAACAAGGAATGTGAAAGAAGTGTCAGAAATAAGCTTAGAGAAGCCCTGCAGAATCCTGTAAATCACAATAAGGAATTTAGACAGTAGTAGTCACTGAAAGATATGACTGTCATGATCAGATGGATGTTTTCAAAAGAACACTTTGGATGTCCTGGTGGAGAATGTTAGAGAAAGAAAGAGGTAGAGACTGGCTAGGAGGTCACAGCAGTGCTCTAAAGAGAGGGGTCAGCAACTGGTTGGCAGGTCAGATCACATTTCCTGTTTTTCAATGGCTCAGAAGCTAAGAATAAGAATTTTTTTAATGTTTAAATAGTTGAAACAAGATTATTTTGTGACATGTAAAAATATGAAATTCAAAATTTCAGTGTCCATAAATAAAGTTTTCTCGGAACACAGGTGCACTTGTTTATTGATTGGCCGCTTTCAGGCTGAAGTTGAGCAGCTTAGACAGAACTGTCTGAACCCTACAGAGCTTAAAATATTGGCTATCTGGCCCTTAGAGATGATGTTTGCCTACTCCTGCTCTAAGCAATAGAGGATTGCCTACACCAGTGTCATGGCGGTAGGAATGAAGAGCCTCTGGTTTGGCATTTAGAGATACTTATGACTGATTGGGGGAGGCCTTTAGGAGGTGGAAGTGACAGCCTAGATGATACTGCTGGGGTAAGGACTACTGCACTAGCTTACTGCCTCCCTACTTCCTTTTTTACCCCTCTTCAACCCATTCTCACCCCTCTACAACCCATTCTCCACACCCAGTAGCCTTTAAAAAAAAAAATCTTCCGCTCCCCACTGACAATTACCCTTTTCACTATTGCCCTAAGGAGAATTTCCAATAAAATGTTACTAATTGGAACGTGCCTACCTTTATAACCCAAAGTCTTCATTCTAGTCTTACTCGACTACTTTACTTCTATTTCTCCCAGACCCCCATCTTCTTGCCTCTAGGCTTTTCCATAAACCTTCTTGCTCCTGGAGTCAGCGCTCCACCTTCTTGCCGCCAGCACTCCCAAAATGCTTTGTGCTTTTGCAGAGCTGGAGTATTTGTGCAGTGTTGGGTGTTTAAATTTCTGTCTTCATCCGTAGACTGAATTTAAGGCAGAAAATGACTCGCGAAGTAAAGCATCCCAGGTCAATAGTAGAAGCTTAATAAAGAACAAATGGAGGTGGAGGACTTCAGCTACATCAGGTGGCAGCCTCATTTATAAATCGTTTGTGAAATGTGAATAGTAATCCCTATTTCACACGGCTGTTGAACGGATAAAATACAAGGGAAATGCCTAGCTTGCTCAATAAACGTGAGTTGAAATTAAACCTGATTTGTGGCCAATACAGAAAGACGTGAATACTTAACGAGACAGTCCTTGTATGCCTGTAAGATGGATCAGAAGGCAAGTCCCCGTGGAGTATATCACCGCCCTCCGCCCTAAATATGCCGAGCAGGAGCGGTCTGAGGGACAGCGTGGCTCCTCCAAGGTGACTGCTCCGCCGAAACGGACGCTCTTTGAATGCATACGTTCCAGAAACCCTCGGCTGTGCCGAGAGTACACAGCCATTGTAGAAAAGATGGCTTTATCCGCAGTAATGGTCCAGGGTCACAAGGACCACATTTACGGCAGGGGGAGAGAGGAGGGCCTTCCCTCCACATGGGGCGAAGGTGCCGTCGGGTCCCCTTCCAAGCTCCCCGGGTCAGGACGGGCAATCTCGGCTCGAGCGTTTCTCTGTTGCCCTTCCTTCGGCCAGGACCCAGCCCTGGACGTGGGGCCCGCCCGTCCCACGCTGCCTCGTGAAAGTCACGTTCACTCTGCCCATCCTCTCGGGTACTCTATGGTTCTCGTGGTGACTCTACTCTAATTCTAGTTCCGGTCTCTATGGCGGCGGCGGAGGCAGGAACGGTTGTAGGTCGGCCGAATTAGCCGCCTAAGAGCCAATGAGAATGGAGGAGTGATAAAGTATTAGCCAATAGAGGCCAGGAGTCGGGGTCAGGTGGTGAGATTGGCAGTATTACTGGCCAGTGGACGATGCTTGGGGCGGGTCGATCGCAGGGCTTATCCCGCCCGTCCCGCCATTCTCGCTAGTTCGATCGGTAGCGGGAGCGGAGAGCGGACCCCAGAGAGCCCTGAGCAGCCCCACCGCCGCCGCCGGCCTAGTTACCATCACACCCCGGGAGGAGCCGCAGCTGCCGCAGCCGGCCCCAGTCACCATCACCGCAACCATGAGCAGCGAGGCCGAGACCCAGCAGCCGCCCGCCGCCCCCCCCGCCGCCCCCGCCCTCAGCGCTGCCGACACCAAGCCCGGCACCACGGGCAGCGGCGCAGGGAGCGGCGGCCCGGGCGGCCTCACATCGGCGGCGCCTGCCGGCGGGGACAAGAAGGTCATCGGTGAGGGCCGGAAGGGGACGGGGGTGGGGCCGTAGGGAAACCTGGCGGCGGAACCGTTACCCGAAGCGGGGAGAGCCGGCGGGCGCGCGGCCGGCGGGGACCGACTCGGCGGCGCGCGGCCGCCCCTCCCCCAACTCGCGGCCGCCGGCCCTCCCGGTCCGCGTGCCCGTCTGGCGCGCTCGCGCGCGCCGCTTCCCGCGCCCCCTGCGGACCCCGCGCGCCCCTCCCCCCCGGGCCGCCGCGCGCCGCCGACCGCGTGTGCGGCAGGGTCCCTCCCCTCTCCGGCGGCCGCGTGCGCTCGGGCCCGCACGCCGTTGTTCCGTCCTCTCGGCCCGCTCCCTTCCGCGTGTACCCTGAGGGCGCGGCGCGCCGCCTACGCAGGCCCGTGTGGGCCGGACGCTTCCCCTTCCCTCACGTGCTCCCCGCCCCGCAGCCGCGCCCGCCCGCCGCGGCCCGCGCCCAGGGCCTGCGCACGGGCCTCCGCCGCCGCGAGCTCACCCACGTGTGCCGCGGGGCCCGCGCCCGGCTGTCAGGGGGTCTCGGGCCGCTGCGGCGCGCGTGCGGGGCTAGGTGCCCCAGCCTGGCGGGTTTAAGAAAGAACCTCTGGTAATCGTGGGTTTTTTTGTGTTTTTGTGTGTTTTCCCCCCCTCCAGCAACGAAGGTTTTGGGAACAGTAAAATGGTTCAATGTAAGAAACGGATATGGTTTCATCAACAGGTGAGATGACCGCCACCGTAGTCTCGGCCCTACCTTTCGCGCTCTGCTCCTTGGGTAGGCCCTGCGGGCTTGAAAGGGGTTAAGCATGGGTTGCTGGTTCCTTCTGGTGTGGTAGTGAGATTTCGTTTTTCTTGAAGGCTGAAGGGATCGGGGAATCTAGAGATCGTCTTTGTTTTGCAGCTAAATATTAATTGAAAGCCATTGGAAGAGGCTGCTTCTGGCACAGAGCGATTTAAAAGCCAAGCGCAGTGAGCGAGCCAACTCTCAGCAGTTAGGGCAAACTGAGGAAATCAGGATCTGGTCTAATTCTCTGAGGCGCATTTTTATCCTTGTCACGTTAGTGAAGTGGATATTGAACAATGTGATGTGACCCACTGGATTAGTAGGTAGAGATTATTTCTAAGTCGTTAGTTAGCCTTTGGAGGGAACAAGGTTTGACAGTGAGGTCTTGTCATCTTGACTGTTCAGGTTATGTCGCCTTTGTTTAACGTTTCAGCACATGATGTCCTGAAGGCCTTGGATCAGTTTCACATTAGGACTACAGGTTTTGTTTGCTCCTGCAGTAGCATGTGGAAGAAACTCCGCTTTTCCTTTTCACAGTTTTTTTTTTCTCCTACTTTTTTGTCCTCATCTTTAGGATTAGTCGTTTGAGTCAATTGTAGCAATAGTTGTAGTCATTTGTAGCAATGGTGATGATAACGTGCAGCTTTCACACACTGTACTCTTCCACACACTGTACTCTTCGTGGTCTCCCCTGTGAGCCGGGCATCATTTCCAAGATGGCTGCCAAGCAAGGCTACTAGTGCTGTTGCATATGGGTGTAGAGCATGGTGTGTGCTCCTAGTGTATTGCCCTTCCAGGTAGGGTACCTTCATCTCTGCAGCTTCTTACCTTCTTGCTTCAGAAGGCATTCAACAACTAGATGTTCAAAAGAACATCTGAGAGTAGGAAATAACACTGAATGTTTGTGTAATGGACACTACTGCAAGAAACCAAGTGGGCAAGATCAAGCTTAAAGACAGACATGATTGGCTGATGAAAAACCTTTCATTACTCAACCATAAAGTGTTGTGGAAATGCTCAAAGCAGAAGAGATTGTAAGCATTTGATGGTCTGTTTTCCACGGTTGCAGTTGTGGGGAAACATTTTGTTTCTTCCAAAGTCTTAGGAATTTTCCATCTGTTATTAACACTGTTTTTGTGACAGACCAACTCCACATTTTTTTCATCAGTTTTTTGATAATTGGCTACTAGTGATGAAGGAAGGGAATGCTTGGGTGCTTCTATTTGACGTTTTAGTTGCTCTCTGAATGTTAGCATTTCAGTTAATATTTCCATTTTACTCTGATTCTCTCTACTGGACTATACCTTAAAACAATTAGTTCTCAAAGTATGCTTATTACCTTGGAACGGTATTAAAAATGCAAATTTCTGAGTTTACTTCCAGCGCAGATTCATTGGTTCTGGGGTACATTTTTAACAAGAATTCCAAGTGATTATGTTTTGTGGGCCATGCCTTGAAAAATAATGCATTTAATTGTTGACCCAATGTAATGTTGATGTATACGCTAGAAGGGAGTGTTATTTGCAGGGTTTCCTGTGGTTAGCTTGCAGTTTGTGTGCTTTAGAAATTGTATATGTGTGCCTTATGTTTTGCTATATTTTGTTAAGTGGACAGAGGTTAGGATTTTTTAAGTGAACAATTGATATCCGAGATAAAAGTTTATTTACATATTCTTAAGTTTTTTATATCATGAGATGCCATTGCTTGCCAACTTGCAATTAACCCAATTGGTAGTCCTCCAGGGCAGGTTAAATGTAAATTAAAGAACTATAGTCTGGAAGTTTGCAACTTGGTTGGGTTTGTAGACAGGGGTGGAGGCACCTGGCTGTCGATGGGGGAGGGAGGGTTGTGGGGAGGTAGACACTGCTGCTTCTGTATAAAGGAGAGGACGTGTGTATGTAGTCTTTGGGGTTATTACTGCAACTCTGTAATTTTATGGGAGTTTTGTGAGTTATGTTCTAGGTTCTTCAGATTTTTATAATTTAAAATGAAGATAACTTACATAAACTTTTTGAATTTTAAAGAATGTATTTTCATTGTTAATATTTTGATCTAAAGTATTACCTATGAAAATAATGGTCTTGTAAGAATTATATTTTAACGCATCTTTTTCTGGTAGTAAAGTGCCTTGTATGAAAGGCGTAAGAGCATAGAGCTTTTAAAACATCAAATGTTTGGGTGCTTTTGTGAGGCTGCAGAATCTAGGAATTCTGAGAAATTCATGGTTAGTCTTCTTGCCCTGTTTTGAGAATGATAATTGGATTATGTGACTAGAGGGGTTTGTTGAACACCACCACCACCCCCCATTGCTTTTCATTGTATTATGAAAAACTTTAAACTATTGAAAGATGTCATTAGAAGGATGTAACAGGGATCAGTGGTTTCATGGTTTGGTTCTGTTTTTAAAATCTGGAAACCTAATTTTTGTCTTTGCTTCCAGCTGTTGAGGATTAATCCATGCTCCCCAAACTCATGAAAAGTTACCATGAGTCAGTAACATTTTCAGTGGGATATGGATCTTTCATAGTGACCACAAGAGAAATCCTGTTCTTCACAGTACTTAAAAATGCTTAATTAATCATTCTAGAGTTTTGGGGGGTGGGCAAGGAATTTGGAGCAAAGAGAATCCAATAGGGAAGGGGGCACAAACTGGTGACCTGCTAGCTGAATCTACCCCCAGATGTTTTGGTTGGAAAACAGTGTCTTGAGAAGTATTAGAATTAATTACTGATGCTTAAGGTAGGGGGATTATCCCCAAAATACAAAGTACGCAAGTTATCATTTTAGATCTGGATTTTAGCTTTGGGGCCTGAAGTCCCATGTAAATAAAACAGCTGGCTATGAGTAAGTATTATTACGACTTTTAAACAGGCATACATTCTCTTTATTTACTGCAGTATGTCAGGCTTCGTTTTCTCCCGTTGTTGACTTCCTGCCTGGCCTCTGTATGCATTTGGATTTATTCCCTGTGGTCTAGGAAGATGTATAATAAACCGAGCCAAGAAAGGGGTTAGCTAACTCTTTAGCGAAAAATACTTAAGTCTTGGTTTAGTCTCTCTTTTTCATGTACATATGTAACTGATGAAGGTGACTTCCCTCACGCGGTGATGGCACATAAAAGTAGCTAATGTTTCTTAAGCACTTAACACCAGGAACTATTGTAAATGTTTTAGTTGAACTAAGGTGTTTAATTTTTTAAACCTTTGAGGTGTAGATACTATTGTGAGGACAGAGAGCTGCAGTAATTTGCCCTGGGAAGCACGGCAGAGTTAGGATTTGAACACTGTTTTCTGACTGGATTTTGTTCATTAGCTGCTGTTCTACTGTCCCTGAAAATAGGCCCTAGCCCTTTTCAGTTTGGTTGCTGTCCACAAAGTTACAGGTAGTTTCTTAGGGTGGCTATTAGCTATTGAAGGACAGTTTTCCTAAGTGATACCTAGCATGTCATTGGAGCTCCTGTATGTGCTGTTAGTTCCCTGGATTTTAGAAGCTTTCTGCTTTGCACTGCCTATTTTATGTAGTTTGGTATTGCAGTAATAGGCCCAGTTTAGTGTGCAGATTGGCTTTACAATTAAAAAGGACTTGCTTAGGGGAGCCTGGGTGGGTCAGTTGGTTAAGCGTCCAGCTCAGGTCATGATCTCGTGGTTCATGGGTTCGAGCCCCATGTCGGGTTCTCTACTGACAGCTCAGAGCCTGGAGCCTGTTTCAGATTTCGTTCCCCTCTCTCTCTCTCTCTCTCCCCCCCTCCCTCCCCCCTCCCCCCTCTCCCCTCCCTCTCTCCCCCCCTCCCCCACTCATGCTCTGTCCCAAAAATAAACTATTAAATTTTTTTTTTAAAAAGGACTTGCTTAATAGCTAATAATTGGGATGCAGTTGAGGAATTGAAGGAGAGAGCAGTTGGCCCTTATCTCATTTCTTGAATCTTTTCATTCATTCTGTCTTTATATGACCTACAAGCTAAGAACCTTGGGTTTTACCTTTTTAAGGGTTGTTTAAGAATATGTGAGTGTGACCTGACATGGCCTGAAACATTTATTGCCTGGTTCTTGGATTTTAAAATGTATAGACCTGTGGAAAAGTGATTGCCAAGTCTCAGCCTGTTAAAAATCAGACTAGATCACACACAGTAAGGTCTCTAAATCATTCATAGAAGGCATAGGTAGTCTGTAATATAGTGACTAAATGTGTTGTGGCACTAGGGAAGACTTTTTGTGCTACTAAGGAAGGATGGGTGGATGGAAGCATAAAAATGATATATCTAAGTAGTCCTTAGATCATGATATATCATTGGCAGTCTTGAAAAAGCACTGTTATTGGTTGGGGGGGAGGGGTTGTTTTGATATCAGAACTGAGGCTTTTCAGACAATGGGTTGTATGCAAGGGACTTCAGGATTAATTTACATGCTGGTTGTGTTAGCTGGTGATCTTAAGTTGGCCAGAAGTCATCCTTGTTCACGAAGTCACTGATAATGTGTAAAAGTTTTTCATCTTAAGTCTAGAGAACCAGCATATTCTATTCATCTGTTTTCCAAGTACTGGGGCTGTTACTACCGAGTTTTCTCTACCTTTCACTCTTTTTTTTTTTTTTTTAATTTAATGTTTTGTTTATTTCTAGGAGAGAGAGAGAGACAGCGTGAGCAGGGGAGGGTCAGAGAGAGAGGGAAACACAGACTCTGAAATAGGCTCCAGGCTCTGAGCTGGCAGTCAGCATAGAGCCCGACGCGGGGCTTGAACCCACGAACCGTGAGATAATGACCTAAGCGAAAGTCGGACGCTTAACCGACTAAGCCACCCAGGCGCCCCTCTACCTTTCACTCTTAGCCTTTGCAGACTGCAATCCAGCTCACCTGAGGCAGAATTGTAGAAGATAATATGGGGCATAGTGTGCCTGCCGGGCATAAGGAGTCTTTGGTAGAAAAACAAATAAAAAGATAAGT